TTCGACCGCGAACACTTAACTGGCCAATCAATGTGCAATGTGCCAAATATATTCCGCGGGGAGGTCGCTTATCTACGGCCCCCGGTGTGACAGTCGCGCTTCCAATTTAGGCGACCACTTGCCAAATTTCTGGCCCTAGAAATGCTTAATTCGTTATTTCTATGTGCTGGTGAGTTTCTCAGGTATCACCGGCTTTTAAAAGCTGGTCTAAATAATTTGACATTTTGATGTGTGAAAATTCGCGAAAAAAGTTCAATTTTTAAGGCGGGCTGTTATTGTGCTATTTCTTCCTCGGATTTAATTATCGAATAGACGTGGCGAAATTAGGGACAACCGAAGATGGCTTACATTATACAACGGAAGGGCAGGTTTGTAAAGAAGCGCGCAGAGATGCGTAAAACCTATAAAAATAAAGAAAAAGTTCAAAATTTAATGCCAAAGTTATTTATATAAAGGTCAATTTTATTTTTTTTCCAACCCAAGGTTGTCCTGTTTCCAGCAAGGCCGTCAAGAGCACCCAGAGCAATACCAACTTTGCGACGAGGTCTTTGAATATGCAATCTACCAAAAAAGCGCCTACAGTTGCGCGAACCCGGTGGCAACAGTAGTGTGGCGGAATGCGATAAATTTGACTGGGTTTGAAGCTGGCTATTTTTTTCAAGCTGAAAATTTTGCAGCTGGAGTTTTTTGGAGATCGAGACTTTTGATAAACATGACGCTAAACTTCAGGCTTACGCGGCTGGATATATGGAAGGTACGATATATTTTTTTAGTATGTAGTTTAGTCGTTATATTTAGGTGCTCTTACAAGGAAACTAATTTCTCACCATTACCACAATGTAATGTCAACGTATTGTAACGGAAGGGAGGAGTATTGCGAGAAATTAAAGGTACTTTTCTGATCAGCGCTTTTCCAGGAAATTTACGTTATTAAATTAAAATTAATATATTTGAATTATTATTAAAAAGCTATATTATCAAAAGTACAGGCGCTAAAATTCGACTTATTTGTAGGAATTTGTCAGGGAAAACCAGGAATGGACCAAGCATTTTCTCGCGACCGAAAATAGGAGCGATCCGTACGTCGATGCGGTGAGTCGTAACTCCTAGCAAAAAAAAAGACAGTATATTTTTAAATCAGTAACGAATATCCATGATTCAGGTAGAAAGGGTGTATTACCAATTACAAGGCGTAATCGATGCCTATGAGAAGCGGCCTATCAATCCGAGGATAACCTACGAGTTTCACGAGATTGTGTAGGTTTTCAAGTTATCTCTCTCTCGTTCTCTCTCACTCTCTCGCTCTCTCTTGCACTTTTTCCACTTCTCAGGCATCAGAAGGAATAGAATTTTGATGAATCAAGGCTTTCTATCGGTTTTAGCTGGCTAAACTGGCTGGGCGAATTCTACGACCTGTCCGTCAAGTTTAACGCGTCTACTCGGAATGACAAAATTGAAAAATGTTCCGCGATGGTTAAGGTATTTACCATTTCGTGACAAAGGCAGGCAAGCTAGCGGAGGTTTTTGCGGAAAATCATAACTCTCCGAGATACCCAAAACATTTTCAGCTAGCTCCCGACCATAAGGACCTCTTCTTCTCCCATGTCGTCTGGTTCGCCTACCACCACATGCTGCGCGTCATCAAGCTGTACAAGTTTGGCTACGGTAGGTGCAGCATATTTTGGAAATTGGATGGATTCAGATCGCGAAAAGTACCCCGGATATGCTGTCTCGTACACCGGATACCCAGGGATTATCAATTCTCAAGACGATTTCCAGGTCACCTCGGCAAAATTGGTAATTGTTATCTTTATTCCATTTAAGTAGATTTTTCTGTATTTTATTCTCTTAGATTTTAAATTGTTAGGTTTTATTGATTGCTACGTTTTCAGGCAATCATGGAAACTACAATCTCTCTTTTCGATGCTTCAAAAACGGTGCACATCAAATCCGGTGGTCAGGCAAGTTTATTCAAGATTTTGGAAGCGAGGGGAAATACGTACATGAGGGCTTTTGGGGGAGAAAATCAAAAAAGAAAAGCTTCGACAAGTTTTGCAAATCCTGAAGGTAAAATACGTACAAATTACAGTGGAAAGCTCAAAAAATACCATAATTTTGTAGCAAATCTTTTGGTTTTGAGGTAACTAAAGCTTTACCAGATTTTCAGCAAACTGTAAGTAGTAGTAAATGGAAGAAAAGCACGAAAATACACCATGTGCGCAAATTTTGACGGAAAAATGCGCGTAACGTACTACGTTACGCTACAAAACCCATAGAGGGGAAATATCGTACAAGTTACTCGAGGAAATCTAAACAGCACCGCGTCAAAACGTGAGAACAAGCGTAAACGGCTACGTTACGCAACAAAAACCCCGGGCAAAATATTGTACAAATTACTGCAGGAAGTCGAAGCAAAACAGTGCCGTAAAAGGCGTCAAAACAGCGCAATCGGCTACGTTACGAGACAAAATACGCAACAAAGATACAAACTATAACTTTGTACACTGTACAACTTACACCTTTGTACAGAATGTAAATTTCGTGGAAAACGGATTTAGTGAGATCCGCGGGCCAGATTCTGGTGCTCGGTGTGGATCAGGCCTTTGCCGTACTCCCACGATTCCTTGAGGTGGACACGGGGGGCGGGGCGGTGGACCAGGGTGTAGTAGATGAGGGCCGTGGCCAAGATGGTGAAGAGGAGAGCCATGTGGAAGTACGTCTCGTAGTTGTGCGAGCAGAAGATAATGCAGCCGAAGCTGAAATGGTGGGTTTTGGATAGAGCGAGAGAGAGAGAGAGAGAGAGAGAGAGAGAGAGAGAGAGAGAGAGCGAGGCAGAGTGAAGAGCGAGAGCGGAGAGCGCGCGATCTAGAGAACAAGTGAGAGCGAATGAGAGGGTGAGAGCGAGAGAGAGAGAGAGAGAGAGAGAGAGATATCGAGAGAGCGAGAGAGAGATCCTCAGAGCGAGGGATATAGAGAATGAGAGGTGGAGAAAAGAGAGAGAGAGGGCACGAGAACCAGTGAGAGACAGATTTCGAGAGCGAGCGTGAGATGCGGTAAGCGAGAGAATGATAGATGTATAAAACGCGCTAGAGAGCGAGAGAGAGAGAGAGACGCCGTTTTCAAACTCACTTTCCAGCATTACGTCCAAAGTAGTACATCGAGTAGAGCACCTACAATTTTAGATTTTTTTTAATTTTTGGTCTACCTGGAGCGAGTGAAGCAGCCAGAAAATACGGCCAATCTGAATATGCGCCTTGACGCCATTAGAGAGCAAATGGTCGGAGAACAGCTTCGGGAAATAGGAGAGGACTGCGGTGCCAAGATACTGTAAACGGCTTTTTTAATTTTCCAATTCTCAACTGACCATGATGAAGTACAGGCCCTGGACGATGAGCATCATGTAGCTGGGCGGGGAGTCGCGGAAGCCCGCCTGAAGTGGGGGATAAACCATTGGCTTTGGGGGGTTTGGCTTACATGGCCGAGAGCAACGTAGGAGACGATAATGCACAGGATGGCAAGGGTGTGGCGGGAAGCGTGGTCATTGACCATGCTCATCGTGGTGTCTTCGCGACCGACACGGTAGGCGAGGACGGCTGAATTTTGGGGGTACACCGGTTGTACGGTCGTTTTGGTCGCGTTGTGTGATTGAAAGAGGGAGCTAGAGAGAGCGCGAGAGATGAGAGAGAGAGAGAGAGAGAAGAGAGAGAGCAAAGAGACGAGAACGAGATAGAGATAGAAAGAGACGCAAAAGTGCGCGAAAAATACCGGAGTTTGCGTTTGGTAGAGATAATCAAAAGGGTTAGATCGGCATATTAGGAGAGAGAGAGAGAGAGAGAGGGAGAGAGGAAAAGAGAGCAATAATGAGAGTGAGAGAGAGCTAGAAAAATCCACTAATTTTGGCTTACCTCTTCCGGTCAGCACATGTGCAATCGCCAGGAACAACACATGCGTGTAGCTGTTCATCATCGAGAAGTTCATCGAGATGCCGCCCGGCATTTGGCCGAATGAAGCGACTAAAAGAGAAATTTTTGGCTTTTTGTCACTTCACCATCCCTTTAAAAACTGCACCGGACCCCTATCTACGGCTTAAAATAACAAAAATTAACTTACTAGTAAACGCAATCTCCAAGAACGCCGCAAATAACGCAGCGCCGGCCAGGCACGATTCCATTTTCTCGCCCATCTTTGTTAGCAAACGATTATTTTTTAGGAGTTGACAGGAATTTTCAGAGGGTTTTCTGGTAGACTGAGTGTGGATATGGCTGCGCAATTCTAGCCTCGACGAGGAGGTGGGGCTTGGGGAATTTTGGGGTAAACAGCAAGGGCATCCCGGGTCCCCCGCGCTAAACAACACCCTTCTCCCCGTTTCATGGGCCGGGATGCACTTTTGTGCTGGCATCTTTTCGGGGTGCGTCCCGGGACCCGGGCAGTAAGCTAAAAGTGGGGGTTGGGAAATGTGTGTAGCTGCCAGCCCCCCTGAAGGCATCAACAACCGGGCAACGGCACCCGAGTGCCCTTTAGGAAAAGCGAGAAAGAGTTATGGTATGTCTGGCCGATTATAGACCAGAAAGTGCATGTGGAAAAATTGGCAAAAATTCACTACAGCATAGTTTCGCGATTTCAGGGCAAACCATGCAAAATCAACAATTTAAAAATAAATCCTGGCAAAAAACCCCCTTAAAAACCGGTAAAAACACAATTTCCCAGGAATATTGCTAGAAAATTCAGAAAGTACAAATATACTCTTTTTTTAGTTTTTCATCATTACCTTACATTCGGTACACATAGGATAACGGGGGGAATAACGGGTGGGCACTCAAACTTTTTATATGATAAAAATATTTTTAAATATGCTTTTTTCGGGCTGTAAAAAAAACTCTTAGTATATTTTTCGGTCCTCTATCGAATGGCATTTTCAAAATATCGAAAATATTCAAAACGCCGAAAAAATCCCCCCCCCTGTTATCCTATGTGCTGCCCATAGTTTTTAAAAATAGTTTTTAGGCTATAAAACTTTTATAATACATTTTTTCGCGTTGTAAAAAATCTCTTAGTATATTTTTGATGTTCTATCGATTCGCGTTTTCAAAATATCGAAAATCTCAAAAATTTGGCTTTCCCCCCCCGTTATCCTATGTGCTGCCCATGGATTTTGATCAATTTTTGTTTATTCGATAAAAAATTTCATTTACATTATTTCGGGCTGAAATTAATTTTCCTAGGGCAGTTTTCGACGCTTTATCGAATGACGTTTTCAAAATACCGAAAATTTCGAAAATTTCGAAAATTTGACTTTCCCCCGTTATCCCTATGTGTGCTGCCCATAGATTTTCCTCAATTTTTGTTTATTCAATAAAAATTTTCTATTACATTATTTCGGGCTGAAATTAATTCTCTTAGTATATTTTTCGACGCTCTATCGAATGGCACTCGCAAAATCCCTGAGTAATTGCAAATTTTATAATAATAAGTGCCCCCCCCGTTATTTTATTCCCCCCGTTACCCTATGTGTACCTTACATTCAATAACCAATTTTTAATATCATATTTTAATAGCTAAAACGGCATTCTTGGCTAATTACTGTGATTGTCACTCTTAAAAGGCAAGTTTTTCGCAAAAACCCTTCTAAAAACCCTGAAAATCCGAATTTCCGCGCTTATAATGGAAGACTTCATACCAAATATGAAAATGAAGCAAACATTCAGTTTTAGCTCAGAAAATGGAACATTGTAGCAAGTAAAAAGTTGATAAACCAAAAAAAACATGAATTTATACTTATCTTACTGTAAAGTGTTTTTACTCAAGTTGGAGTTTCGATTCGGGACCAAGTGCAACTCGTGCAGAATTTTTTGCTGATACCGAATCCATTTTCCAAATTTGCTGCGGACTTTTATTTAAAAAGTCATTTTTGGTGCAAATTAAGCTTAAAAAGGCAAAAATTTGGATCCTGGTCCACTATTCCCCCCATGGTTCTGCCTCTCCCAGGGGCCCTGAAGTACTCTGTCACAGCTCCCCTCCCAGTTGGCACCATAGTGCATTGGCAAAGCACTCGCTTGCCAAGCGCAGGGCGGCGGCTCGGATCCCCCCCCTGCACCTCTCTTTTGCTTTTTGCATAAAAAAATTCAATTTTTTATAAAAAAAGCTTGTTTTGACTTTTAAGATGCTTGTCTAGCCAATCTCTAGCCAATTTTGAAGTTGAAATTGATCAGGATCGAAAACGATAACGGTTCCTTGATTTTGGTGAAAAACACTATCATAACTGCTGTATAACTTTCAAAATAAAAGTCCGCCGCAAATTTGGAAAGCGGATTCGGAATCAGCGAAAAATTCTACACAAGATGCACTTGGTCCCGAAACGAAACTCCAACTTGAGTAAAAACACTTTCCAGTTAGTTGCAATTCGTTAAACAAATACGAATCTTAAAAACACATGTCTCAATTTTTAGCGCTAAAAATAGATAGGAAATGTCATTAAATTTTATTTCCAGCTTCCTTGTTGGGTCCGCTCGATCGTCGCCAGCCACTTGGCCAACACGGCCAAGGATTGGGCTGAGATTTTCCTGCGATATCACATGGGTAAAAATCTGATAAAAACAGTATAAAGATTACCTCCAGGCACTTACAACAACCAGTGGATGATCGCCGACTACAAGCTGTTCACCCCAGCCCAAAAGCTGAAGCCCGGCACGTTTTATGTGATGGAAACGATGCCGTAAGTTTTTAGCGATTTTCAAAACCAGACAAATGGGTTTTTAATTGTAGCTTCGCTTTGTAATGAACATTTTGAGACGTTTCGCCATCTACCGCGATCGCACCGAGGACTTGGAGAAGGACACGTACTTTGCTTCATATAACTTGGCCCAATACGACAAAATTGTCCAGTATTCGGGCTCGGAGGAATACGTACGTTTTTCTATTTTTTCTATCCTAACAACTTGCAAACCTGAAAAATATTTTTTTTTCAGGCTAAAACTCACGACCCAGCCGGTAACGGCCGAATTGGCGGCGATTATTTTAGGTTAGAAAATGATAAATTTATTAAAATTTTAATCTCAGGCCCTTCAAGTCCCCGAGAGCTCGTATTTTCGCCAGGGACCACGTCAAGGCCGTCGATTTCGAGTCGTTCATGGGAGTTTTGCGGTAAAATATGTTCTATCGTTACCAAAGGAACCTTTTCTATAGTTCAAACGACCCGAAAAACGAGGAATTCGCAAAGTGTGAATGCGAGAATGGCTATTCGGTTAGTGCGGCGATATCAGCACGAGGCGGTGGGTAAAATAAAGAAAAAGCCGACTAGAAGGCTGTAATTTTTAGACCTCGGAGTGGCTAACGGGACTTATGAATGTGATTCTCTGGGTCAAAGGAATATGGGAGCGCTAGATTTTAAGGTGAGTTCACCTCATAAATAAAAAAAAGACGCTATATTCCATTGCAGCGGATTTTTCATTCATTTACAGGGCATCGACCACAAGCGCATGGAAAACATCAACTATCGCGCGTGGGGCGCCCCGGCTTTTGATGAAAACTACCCACCATTTGAGTGGAAAATCTTTGAAGAAACTTCAGACTTTGTAAGCTCAACGAATCAAATCTAAACTCGAATTTAAACCAGGAATAGCAAAAAACATTACTATTTTGTTCAGCGAGTCGGCCGCCGCGGGCATCCCGAAAAGTTCGACTTTGATCACATGGAAGTGAAATGGAACCTCGATATTTGGAATTAGACTCGCCATCCAAAGTAAAAATTTATCGTGTTCCACACGAGTCCTTACAAAAACAGTGCTGACAACTAAATACGCGTTAGAAACAAAAAATTGGCAACAAGAACAAAGCAAACGACAAAATGAGCATGCCAAAAGCGGGGGAAGAGGCAGCCGAAACAGATTAATAGAACCAATAAATGCTAGACCATGTTGGGGAAGAGTTGAGCGTAATAGTCGGAGAATTCCTCGGCGATCACGTCAGCAAGAAGCGGGTCCTCGTCGATGAGGAGGGCCCATCGTTTGTAGCAAGCATCGGGGAAACTAGACAAAGGTAAAAATAAAACCGGAAATGGCATACCTGCCGTCACGCGGGTCTATTTTAATCTCATTGAGGAATTTGGCCAATTCGGGGCTGGTGGGAGGCGAGGGCGGCGCTTCGGGCATTTGTAACTGGGTTGGGCTTGGCGATCGCGAAAGTGAGGCCTGAAAAAAGGTACCAGAAAGATTTTTAAAATCCTACCACCACCATTTCCTTAAATGAGTCCTTGACCGACGAGTTGCTGGGTGATTTCTGGACCTAAAAGGAACTCAAAATAACTAGGGAAACCATACCTTCTGGAGAACTTGGTCCTTGAACATTTCGGGCACGCTGATCTTCGGCGACTGCATTTCAACCTTCTAAAAAGTTAGTGTAAGGAAAAGCTATCGGAAAAAAACCTCGCGCTCGAAGGAACCCACTAGCTTGACCGGAGAATTGGCGACGACAGGCTAAGCGAGAGTTTTTGATAAAGAAATTTCCAAAACCTGAATGGGAGCGGCGTGACTTTCGACGGGTTGATTTCCATTCGGCGGGTGCGATGCAGCGCTATTGAACTTCTAAAGATAATTTTGTTAGCCCTGAAATTCATAGGGGACGTTGAAGTCGAAGGCGCGCAGGCTGGCCTCAAACTGGCGCCGTCGCTCTTCCTCTGTCGGAAATGGCGGCGTGTTGCCGAGCTGCCGGACCTAAATTGCATAGTTTTTTATAAAAAACGCGCAAAAAAACCTTGATTTCTTGACTTTTCGATGGCATGCCCGGCGGATTGTTGTTGAAGAGGGATGGGTTCAGTGGTAGGTCCTAAAAATCAAGCACGAGTCAGCCGTAGGTCATAAAAAAGACCATAAAAACCCACCTCGAAACTGGAGCTCAAGTCCAGATGCCCGAACAAGTCTTCGACGGTTTCCTGGAAAAAAAGTTTACAAAGACGTATGAAACCAAACCTGAGGCTGCTGCACTTTTTCTTTTCCACTCTTCTTGACCGGCAGGCTCGACCGCTTTTTCTACAAGCAAAATAGGGCAATATCAAGAGTAACGCTTACTTTTTCATAGGTGACATCGAGTGGGTGTGGGCCGCTGGGCTCGATCCAGTCGGGGACGCGCCGGTCAGGAGGCGAGCTTTCCGGAGCGGGCTTCCTGATTTGTTGCTTTGGCGGTGGAGCAGGCAAATTGGGCGACGGCGAAGCCGGTAGAGCGATTTCCACGATCTAAAAAAAGTATAAAAACACGGGAAAAAGCGAAACCTGAGCCTCAATTGTTCCCGGTGCGTGTGGGGCGAAAGCGAGACGAGCCCAGAAAGTGTGGCGAAGAACGGCGTCGTGGGGGTGTACGCCGTTGGGATCGGTGACTTTCCAGAAGACTGGGTTCTAAAAAGAGAACAATTCTTGGAGATAAGCTTCTAAGAAGCTCCAAGAGCGATCAACACGCCATTTTTGAGGCCCGAATTACAATGTCGCACGTATAGCAACTAGATTAAAGCATAAAAACCTGATTTTAGGCGACAAGGACTTGGAGTAAAAACTGCAAAAAGTTTAAAGAATAAAATTAAGTAATGAAGAAATGAATCAAGTCCTTATCTAGATACCAACATATAAGAAAAGCTCTAAAGAAAACACTGCGCAAAACCATACCGACGGCACAATTTCACCGGCTTCATCGACGCGGCAGTCCAGAAGTATAATCTATAAATACTCAAATCAAAAGGTAACTCTCGAAAAATACCTCTACAAAACGCCCAACCCTTCTCATATCAAACGGCTCCCGGTGTGCCTCGAGGGCGAACATCCGGACATCGCGGCCCTCCTTGACCCGAACCACCCATCGCGCCAGCTCGACCGGTATCTCGCCCCTAAAAAAGTTTCAAGGTGAGCAAGAATAAAACTAACAAGTCTATTCGGATTGGCTGCGCCTTGCGCAAGGGCAGGTAGTACAGCCGAGCCGCCTCGGATTGCAAGATGACGCCAACTTCAACTTGACCCATCTTGGGTTTGGGTCGGGCCTGAAAAAGGAGATAGTGTTGATGCCAATGCAAAAATACAAACGAAAAGACGACAGAAAATTGGTGGAGTTGAGCTAGTGCATTTCGTAAAATCCCGAAATCGGCAAAAAAATTGGCAAAAATCGCGATTACGGGATGATCCTCCGAACGATTTACCAGGGGGTATACTGTAAAAGGTGCGCGCAGTAGAAAGCGACCATTGGCCTCCTTTATTCTTTTCAGGCTCGCAAATAATCAAAATTAATAAATTAAGGTACGATTTATGGGTTTTCCTTTTCGATATCTTTACTTAACATTGACTATTTATTTATCCTGACGATTTCGGCTGTTGTCTGAGGTTTACCTTGCCGATTGTAATTAACTATTACGAAAAATATAGCTTCTTTGTTTTCATTCACTATTTACCCTCTTTTTCACTAGACTCTAATGGCCAGGGGTTTTCCATTGGCACCCGGGGGTGCATTGCGGGTGTGGTGATGCGGCGCGGGGTAATTTAAGAGCAGGAATGAGGCCTTCGGCGGTGCTAGGCGAAAATTATGGGGTTTTGGCTTGAGGAAATGGATGAATTCGCGAAAGGAAAAGAATAATAAAGCGTTGTTTAGGCGATAAAACGTGCTGTTTCTTATAGTCAAGGCATCATTTTCGTACTGTTCACTTTTCTGCTGTTTTGGCCGTTTTTCGGGTCCCGTTTCCAGGTGTAGACGGCAGCTATTTTAGCTGGTATTGGCTTTATTAAACTGTGTTACTTTCTTGTTCTATTTCTGTAATTCAGCGGACTGAATGCAGCGACAGGACTTTACTAATAACCTGGAGTCGTCGCACCGGATACCAATACCCGCTAAAGCCCCTCATCGTCAGCTAATCGCTGTCTAGGGTCGGGTTTGAACGGATTAGCCGTCACTTCCGGAAATCCAGCGATACGAGGGTACGGTAGACGCGAGCGCGGCTTTTAGGATAGCGTCTGGTATTCGTCTTTTCTTATTACTCGCCGCTGTTTGGCCACTAGCTAGAGTTCTGCCCTATCGACTATCAGAAGGTTTTCTGTATTAACAAATCTGCATTTATCGGTTAGTGTGCTTTTTCGCGACAAGTTCATTCGAAAAAAAGTTTATTTTCACTTACACACCAATAATAATTTTACATTTCTGTTGTACATTTTGGTAGGCATTTCACGGTGGAAGGGCTGGGCTTGCGACGTTGGTTCGGTGTGTTTGCTAAAAGAGTCGTTTGGAGGATTTATGTGGTCTACTTACATTTGTAAATCCGATTTCATCAATTAAATTGATGTAATGGAAGGGCTGATTAGGAAGACGGTTAGCCAGCCCGGGTGGATGACATTGTAGATGCCGTCGTGATGTTGGAGAAATTGCCCAAGTTTAGCGTAGTGTACACTGAAAGATATTTGTTTTATTAATTTCTATTATTGATTAAACCAGGAAAATTTTATTAGAAACTGAGATTTTAGCTTAATGCCAATATTTAACTGAAGCTGGAAACCTCTAGGAAACTTGAAAATTCAGCAAAAATCGAGGAGCTGAGGGCAGGAGACTACTTCTGTAATGTGGCCGGGGGCCATCATGGGCCACCTCGGTTACTATGGAAATGGGCCAAGGGGGTGGGCCCTTGGCCCATCCCCTCCTGGGGCCCCAAGGAATTGATCTTGGTGCCCGCCCCTGCCACCCACCCCTCCCTACCCATCTTGGGAATTAGAGAATTGCGAAGCGGTGGCCCCTGATTTGGTGGCACCTGGAAATTGAATGGAAGGATTGGGACGAAAAATGACGGAAATATATTGAATGGCAGCTGTATAATTTTTTTAAGGGGAAGCGCTATATCGCTGGTTTTTCGGCTTATCGAGGGGATATTTGGGTTAGTGCTCAGGCAAAAATTGTTAGGAACTAACGATGAAAAAAATTTTTTGCACGTTTTTTTCCGGCTGATCGAGTAGCTTTCAAGGTCTAGGTCAGGGAATCTTTATTATTTGAGTTAAAAACGGAGCAAAACCGGCTTGAAAAACACGAATTATGGCGGAAATAACTTTTAGAGGCTTTCTGAAAAAGCCGCGGTTTTTTCACCTCCGAGGAATCGTTCTGTTGCCTGCGGAATCGATATTCCGAGACGAATTGAGATGCACATATTTATAGAGCTTTTCAATCTGAATTTTTACCGCTTTTCCCAAATTTTTATATAGCTTTGGCGTTTCAAGCCAGCTTTTTACGATTTATTGCCAAGCCTGGGCCAAATAATTAAAATATTTCTCTCGTTCCTCATCCACCGAGAAGCCCATCTGGTCGCCGGTGATGGAGAGGGGCTAAAGCTTAGCATTTCCCTGTAAAAATTGCTGTAAAAATTTCTGACCCTTCGTTTTCCTTTCACCGATGCTATTTTATTAGGGTAGCCGAGGAACAAATAAAATTCCGCCCGCAAAGTTTCGTGCACCATCACCGTGAGTATCATTTGGCTGGTTAGCTAAAATGCGCGTTCGGGGTTTATATACCTTTTAAACGCTTTAAAATTCTAACTTACCTGTATTACGATCCAATATAGGTATAACTCTGTAGTAAAATCAAAGATGTAGTCTTCAACCTCAAAGCATAAGTAATAGATTCCAAGGGACATGTAGTTTGTGACCGTTTTGTAGGCAGATACCCATTTCAGAAGATGCGCCGATTTCATGTTTTCAGCCGTTTGATAGCTGAAAAAATATAGCTTGTAAATAGTTGGCAACTAAATGCAGACATTATTAAATGCGTAAAGATCTCTAATATTGATTTTTTTCACTTAAAGACGAATTATTGGCTGAAATCCTTGGTATGACTAGGGAAAAGCGTATTCTTCAATGTTTAACAATTAAATAATACAAAATTGGGCTGTTTAGCTCTCTAAAAACGTTATTTGAAGCCCATTTTGTTAATACCTACCGTAATCCAATTGTTGATTTTCTCCTCTTCGCATTTTCGAACAATTTCCGGGTTGTAAATGGCAAAATCGCGAAGAATATTGTCGAAATGCTGTACATCCCGAGAATCGCGATGTACGTATCGTAATCGTCGATAATTTCTATAGATATTGTGCTACAAATTGATATTTAAAGTTACCGTATATGCGCATCGCATTCAAGCTCGCGCAAATGAGGCACTAAATTTAAATAAATTACGGTGAAATGTTGCAATTGCTTACAAGTGCTGTCAGTAGTAATACCCCGCATAACGGAAATCTTTGGTGCATGCGCTCATATTTTTCCGGGCATACGGTAGCATATAGGCGTTCTATGGAAATTGGAAGCATTAGTGCAGTGCCGACCATTAGGACTGAAATTTAATTACCCTATTTTTATTGGAAATTCTACATTCTACATGAGCACATAAAGGGTGTCCCAAAAAACCGACCAGAGGTTTATCATACCGTAAATAACACCAATCCTGACTTTTAGCCGTATTGCTACAGTAGTTTTAAAGTTATAACAAAAATGAACTTTAATTTCCAGTTTTCATAGGGCTAATTTGAAGTTAAACCCCCTAAACATTAAGTGAAAATGTATGGGTAAGCCTTTTTTACCTTAAGAAATTTTTTCCGGACTATTAATCAAATAAGCGTCGATTTAGGCGATTTTTACAACACAAAATTACCGAAGTTCTTAAGCGAAATTAGGGATTCGCAGCCGGACGTCGATGCAAATCGATGCAAAGTCCAAAAAGATAGCCGAAAAACTGTTTAGAATTGCGTGAAAAACAGTATTTTGGCTATAACTACTGTAGCGATCGGGCTGTAACTTAGAATTGTTGTTATTTAAGGTCTGATACACCTCTGGTCCCAATTTGGGACCGGCTGGATGTAACACGACGAAATGCTAGATGGGTCGTTTTTTTTGGGACACCCTGTATTAGATACTAAACGCCGTAAATAGGAAAAACGTACTAAAATCCGTATTATAAGTACAGAAACGGAGGTAGAAAGTACTGTAATTAATTCTAAATATATCTAGGAGATGCCATTGCGTTTTATTGACGAGTACGGTCCATTGGATAATCGGCTGCGCGATCAGGAGAAATCGAAGGTTTGGGTGGCAAAACTAAACTTAAAACGTAAATTGTATACAGGGTGTCCCAAAAAAAACGACCCATCTGGCATTTCGCCGTGTTACATCCAATCGGTCCCAAATTTGGGCCAAAGGTGTATCAGACCCTAAATAACAACAATCCTGACTTTTAGCCCTGTAGCTACGGTTGTTCTCGAGTTACAACGAAAATACTGTTTTTCCCGGAATTCTGAACAGTTTTTTCGGCTATCTTTTTGGACTTTGCATCGATTTGCATCGACTTCCGGCTGCGAATCCCTAATTTCGCTTAAGAACCTGGGTAATTTTGCGTTGTGAAAATCGCTTAAATTGAAGATTATTTAATCAATTTTACCCTGGAAAAAATTTCCTTAGGCAAAGAAGGCCTACCGGATCATTTTCACTTAATGTTTAGGGGGTCTAATTCCACGAAAAGCCTATGAAAAATGGAAAATAAAGTTTGTTTTTGCTATAACTCGAGAACTACTGTAGCTACCGGGCTATAAGTCAGGATTGTTGTTATTTAGGGTATGATACACCTCTGGTCCAAATTTGGGACCGATTGGATGTAACACGGCGAAATGCCAGATGGGTCGTTTTTTTTGGGACACCCTGTATTTTAAGGCAAAATTTGCAGTCAGTAGCATCAAATTTAATGGGAAAAAAATCGTATAGAATTAGCATTAAAATTGTGCTTAATTATACCGGAAATCCTATCCTATAAGCGAGAAAAGTATGTGTGTTTTCTGTGCAGCCAGTTTCTCGGCCGTTAGGGCGAATTTCCGGCTGATTTTTGGCATGGAGGTGCAGAAACACATTTGCCAGAAACGCATTTTTTTGTTTTTCGAAATTGCTTCATTTAACAATTTTACAAGCAAAATGGTGAAAATCCTTAACAAAATGGGCGACGAGCCGTGGTGTCCGG